TAAGAATGAGAAGGTCTGATTTGGTATGATATAGGAGGGAGATTGTACATGACTATTATGTCCTGTGTATCTCAAAAACTAAAAGAAAGAGTTTTTATCATAGAGATCTAATGGAAGTTTGAAGACCTAGCTATGTTTATCCTGGTATATTTGCACAAAATACCATACTCTTAAATATAAAAAAAAATACCATAAAGAACATCCTAAAGGCCGTAAAACTAACTTCCAATAGAAAACAGCCCTATTGCAAGAAGAAGAAGGAGAAGGAGAAGGAGAAGGAGAAGGAGAAGGAGAAGGAGGAGAAGGAGAAGGAGAAGGAGAAGAAGAAGAAGAAGAAGAGGAGGAAGAGGAGGAGGAAGAGGAGGAGGAGGAGGAGGAGGAGGAGGAGGAGGAGGAGGAGGAGGAGGAGGAGGAGGAGGAGGAAGAGGAGGAGGAGGAGGAGGAGGAGAAAAAGCAGCAGCAGCACAATCCCAAGCAAAAGGTCTTGCTTTCCTCCACTGCACCACAAAAAAAGTAAAGAAAAAAAGAAAAAAAGAACCTGGATAGTGTAAGGCACTTAATTAATTTTAATTATTTCTGATATTTGAATGACCTATGTCTATAACAAGATGGCATGGAACATATTCATGAATGCATTAACAATGTAAGAATGAACTGTCGTGTACATGTTGGGTGTTCTTATAGTTTAAATTAGGTTCTGGAGGGTTCTGTAGATATAACCAACAGAGTCACTAAAACTGGAAGAGCATACACAGGTCTGGTCCTCTATCCACATCAAAGGGCTAAGGTGGGGAGGGGGGTGGACACAGGACAGGTATAGGAAAAATAAATAAATAAAAATTTAAAAATCCCAAGTCTATACTACACATGCCTTATCACCAAATGCCCACACAAACAAAAAATATGATTGTCTTTGCTGTATTTCTGTCATTTCAAATACCTGTTACCATCTAGCACTTATTTTCATTTCTGATATTGTTCATTGTCTATATATCTCATTCAATAAAAAAAGTTAAGATATAGGAACTTTTATCTGTTGAGTTTCTTGTGATTTGAGTAAAATTTGATACAGTAGGTACTCCATAAATACTGGTTGAACTCATAATTCTCCTAAAGGCCCTTCTTTCCTTAAGGTAGCAACTTATTTATGCATGGTATAAATAGAATATGAATCATGCCCATTTTCATATATATGAAATTATTCTTGCTATCTCCTGTCAGACCTCTTAGGAAAAATGAAGTATTTAAACTGGATTTTCAATTCACAACTACTGTCTAGTCAGTGGCTTAACTTTTACTCCATTTTTAAATACATGAAATATATTTTCTTGGAAACCAGTTATATACCTTCATTAGATTCAATACCATAATTGTAACTCGAAGAAGAAAACTTTTGCATTACAAGTTATACATTAATGATACAAATAAGTTGTAAACGACAGACCTTTGGGTTCTTGTTTTATCCCATTCATTTGAGATGCTGCATTATTAGGGTTTGAACTCACACCCTCACATTTGCAAGTAATAAGCAACTGCTTTGCCACTTGAGCCACCAACCTACATCCAATTATGCTTTTAGTACATATATGTATATACAGTCTGTAATATATAATATTATATATTATAGTATATGTATTTAATGTATGATGTCACACTTTTATCTTGTCTCCTTGGACATCAATCCTCCTACCTCTCCTATGGCTAGGACCACAGATACACACTACTGCACTCAACTTCTTGAGATGACATACCATAGTTTCACCAGTGCTCATGAACTCAACCTCCTCATTCCCTGGATTACAGGTGTGAGTAGCCAGCACCATTCCAGTCTCCAGGTTTTTAAGGAAAATCTTAAATCTCATGTTTGGAGTGCGTGGTCAGGATGGAGGTCCTATTACCCTAAAAACCTTACAAATAAAACTAAGTGAAGGCTTCTTTTTTTTCTACTGTGTTCAATTTTATTTGTGTAATTTATATTTTAAAGTATATATGTTATTGTTATTGCAGAGGTGATATCCAGAGGGTTATAGTTACTTGTTAGGTAATGACTACAATTCTTTTTGAACTATTTCTCCTCTTCCCTTGCTTTCTTCCAACTTTTCCCTCCCATCTCCACCCACAATGTACTTATCCATGCACCCTAAATCAATTCATGTCCTCTTTTATGAATCTACTTAAAAGTGAATTGTTAAATATGTGTCACATATCAATGACAGGCAGGGAATTTAATGTTAGCACAGATGTTAAGAAGATAATTTTTCCCTTATTTGGTTAAGTAGGTTGTCTCACAACCTACAACCTTTGAAACCTACATAAGGAAAATTGGTATTATGTGATACTTTCAACCTTTCAGAACATTATTTTGAAAAAAATGGAAATAAAACATAAAGTGCATTTCTTGAAATATTTGAGCAAAGCATTTTGAAGTCTTCATTGTGTGTTAAAAGAGTGTGTCTTAGAAAAACAGCAAATTCAAAAAGTTCATCTGCATAGACTTAAGATTTGAATTTAACCGTGTCAGAATCACATATCTGAGAAAGATGCTGTATTTCACAAGCTTGTAATTCATATGGACAGACAGAGAATTATACCTCCTTATAAGTTTTACATTCTTAGGAGATTTTCTTCAAATGCTAGATTAAAATGTGTGTCCCTCTAGGAGCTACTTCAATCATGTATTCTAAAAAGTGTATTTCCATAGGTAAAATTCCATAGGCAGAGGAGTTTTATTATCTCTGAGTTGCAATGTGGAATGTCTCATTTCCTAGGACAAAGTTTGTTAAATGAGCACTGGCAGTATGCGTAGAGCTATGCTTTTGGACTCAAGCACAAGTCATCTCTTTTCAGTCACCATTAGCAGAAGCCAGAAATGATTGAGCACTTAGAATGGGGCCCTTGGTTAATTGAACTGGAATTAGAAGGAAAGTAGGCAATTTAGGAAATAAGAGTCGCTGTACTGATTCAGACCAATGGTTCTCATGGCTTCACATTCAGCCTCCAGCAGCTGTACTTGTTAGTTTCTATAGCTGAGAAAGAGAGAGAGAGAAAGGGGGAGGGAGAGAGAGAGGACGGCATCATTCTCCTAGACAAGGCTGCCATCTGTGATCTGAAGAAATTTTCATCTTGACCTCTCTCAAATAATCCCCTAAAGCAGGAGCTGTCAGTCCTACAATGATATTGGTTTAGCCTGAATAGTTCTGGTTATTAATAATCCTTATTAAATCATCCAATTCCTACATAAAACCAACTTCTCTATCAGGAAACTATTTATCTCTAAAGCTCCTCGGTTCATGGTTGACTGTGCCTGTTTATGTGATAAAATGTTAATTTATGAGGCTAATTCGTACCCAGTTCTTGACAGTAAAATCTGCTTCTAAATAACCAGGCTGGATGGTGTCTGTTTTTCTTCCAAACTTTACTGCACGCAAAGGTGTGCTTCCCTCACTACTAAGTATAGTACTAATACTAAAGCTTCTCCCAAATTGGGATCTATTATTAATCTACAGGTGCTAAGTGAATCATAAAAATTTTGCCTGTTAAACTTCCACAAAAGTTCAAGAAAACTGTATATACTTTATACAATTCTTCTTAAGGTTGAATGAACTTAAGAGAAAGAAATGAATCACGTAACTTACATTATTCTAGAAATCACAGGTCAAAATATCTAAAATAGTATATTTGCAATACCCTTGATGACAAAAATCCCTTAAGAGTAATTCCATCCAACTATAGTCTGAGCCATTGTCCTGAGACATGAAACATTAATGTGATGAAAAGATTGTCCTAAATCTCTAACAGGAGCTTTGGAAACTTATTACCAAGAATACTAATTACCATCATTATTTTAATTCAGAAAGTTCCCTTATTCATTTCTGTGTTGTCTATTTCCCCATCCTCCCCATTTATTTCCTCTGTCTAATTCAACCTGAGTATATGTCTTCAGATCGTTTTCTCTTCAGGACATATAAATATTCCCTTCTGTGGCTGTTTCTGATTTCCTGTTTATTATTCCCCTGTGAGATAATGTATCTTCCAAATGTACTTGTATTTATAGGCCTAGATTAGTATCTATCTCAATAATAATAATAATAATACACATATTGATGAGAAACTTGTAAGCTTACCAATGAATGTACTACTTAATGCCACTTCAAAAATGTCTTGTGTTTTGGGCTGGGATATAGCCCAGTGGTAAAGCACCTGCTAGTGCAACGTTCTGGGTTTGCTCCCCAGCACCAAAAAGAAAAACCAAAATGAAAAAAAAGAGAAGACCTTGTGTGTTTCATTTCCATGACTGCAGTAATCGTGAAATACTACAAAGGTATGAATCAAGTAGATCACAGAAACTTTCCTAACATGTTTAGACTTCTGTGATGGGTAAAGGAAGGAACTCCAAGAACTTATAGCTGGAAGAAAGGACAAGAAGAGACAGGGCAGAGGGTATCACAGAAAATCCCCTTGTTATTTTGGTTTGTGTGTAGATCATTTGATCTACACATACAATTATAATCATCTTCAAAGTCAAAAGGACCGATTCCTAAAATCATGACTTCATTGTATAATAGAATACGCAGCCAGGTTTACATTCAGACAGTATTGGCAAGAATGAGTCGAATAAAATAGAATATCATATATTCAGTGGATCTTCTAATATTTATTGTGAGGATAGTACAAGAGGAAAAAGTTACAGAAAAGTATACTGCCTTTATTTGACTATGTTTTGGTGTGCATGTGAAATATTTTATTGAATTTGAAATTATTTTGTCCTTGTATTTTATGCAGGAATGCATGCAATACTCTGTCTTTAACTGTTAGTTTCTAAAGTTGTAAAGCATGGTATGTCAAATCATTAAAAATTCTTAATTGCGGGTTCTTTATGCTCAGGGGTTTCAGAACACATCCATATTCTTTGTTTCAATTTTTTTTGTTAATGTATTTTTTTCATGTGTTTCAAAAGTAATATTGTTTCATATCTAACAAGAATTTCTCTGACTGTTTAGGTACCCAAATGGGACCCAGAGCAATAACACAAGATGGCCGTTCTTCAGAACCCCTGAACAAAAATACTTAACCTTGAACACAGACTCACCAAGGATATACTCTAAACTACGAACTCAGCAGTGCCGATTCTGGAAACTATTTTTTCCCAAAGTCTTGGAAATGACAGGTGTGTGCTTTTAATTAATAGACTGCATAGTATGAAGCATGAGAGAAAGGTAGCTTATTCAAGAGAAGGTATTGATATAAACTCCCACGACTTCAAGGTTATTTCATTTCAACAAGGACATTATCTCATCAAAATTCCTTCCACAAGTTTACTTATGTTTTGCACACTTTCCAGAGTACCAAAAAATGTATTGGTGCTCTACTTACTTTTCAGTCGATCCTTATAGAATTAATTAAGGACAAATAAATAGATACATAAAATTTACATATGTAAAATGTTTTTGTAGTGAATAGAGCTAAAAAAAAACTACTCAAAAATTTGAACACACATTTATTAATAAATAGTAATACTAAGGAACAAAGTAAGAAACACACAATTTTCATGTGGAAAAACACAACCCAAATATTTCCAAGAATTTTTAACTTAGAAATATTTAAGGAAGAACACACAAACACACATATTGCATAATATCATAAATAGTAATTTAGTTAATTAACCTTTAATGTGTGATTGCTTAAAGGTATAAAAAGAAATACTTGGCAAATTATTCCAATTACCATATTATCTCAATATTCATTATTAAGGAAACAGTGCAATCAACATGAGTTAATCAAACACACATCATCCTACTTTAATTTTAAATGAGAAAAGTGACAAACATATTCAACTCACAGCATGGTTATGAGATACCTAGCTATTTATAACTCACATGGCTAACTTACAAATTTTATTTTTCAGATGAAACTAACTGACTCTCTGTCATCTAAAATCACTAGTCAATATTGTCCTTAATTTTTCACACAGTTTGATTTTTAGACTATGCATGTCATCACAGTATCTGCTTTTATTTTCTTATTTAGATAATGTAGGAGGCATTTTCTAATCAATATAAGCATATCAAGGATTCATTCAATTGTTTAATATGCCTTTTGATCATCCTACATTACTCACTAAAATTAAAATTATGTTCTCAATCTGCTTGGGAGATGTTTCTGATGTACCAGAACCCTGTGTATCCCCATGTATTCTGTGATCTAAGATTTAGAGTTGGTCTCCACAGCACTGGGCAGATCAACAAGTGCTCATTGTGCCTTCAGGGTATGAATAACAACAAGATGACTCATGCCATCTGCCAAGACAGCCAAACAAATAGTGTTTAGTATACCACAGGCCACTGGTTCTAAATTGTTATTTAAAATATCGTTTAATGAGAGTCCTAATCTGGAGAAACGTAAGTAAAGGGAGAAGGCAGTGGTAGTTGTAAATGGCTTATATATTGTAAGCTAAACCAAGTCCTTGTACAAACACAAGGTAAATATATCCTGGTAGCATCAAAAAAAAAATGGTCTACTGGAACAATGATCACCAATGCTTTAGGTTTTATAAATAAGTAATCTAATGGGATTAGAACTGGTAAGTACCTATTGTTGGTACATCTTAGTTTTAATTCTCAACACTTTGAATATGTTCCTCTTTTGTGTTTACATCATTTGCACTGAGGTTTTTCTGGCATATTTAAAGATTGCTGCTTTACAAACAAGAGGAAAACCACAGAATCTCTATTGTCTGGCTTTTGTAAAAGGAGAAATGTTTATTCCACTTATGATGGAAAGGTCATAGTTTTATAAGTACCACTTCAGCCAATGTTTACGTTGGAGCAATACATGGCCTCAAATAAAATAGTTCTTAAGACTTGTTTAAACACATAAATTCTAGCACTTTGCTTGTTATTATTATGAAGCATCTACAGGAAATAAAATGTACAGTATTTGACTTAAATGTGATTAGGCTCAGAGTTTCACTAAGAACACTTCTGCATAACAGCTACACTTAGTTTAAAAAAAATAGAAAAAAGATAACACTTGACTTATTAACTGCCATCACCTGTATGAATGTTGTGTTGTTGTTATAATAAGAGAGTGAATTCACATAAAGGGAAAAAATTGTTAGATCTTCATATCATCCAATTAAAAAAAAAGTAGTTGCTCTCCTGACCTTTTTATAAGTCACAGAAAATTGTTACTTGTCTGAATTAAAGCTAGTGGCATCTAAATTTAAAAGAGTTTCAGCCGGGCGCTGGTGGCTCATGCCTGTAATCCTAGCTACTCAGGAGGCTGAGATCTGAGGATCAAGGTTCAAAGTCAGCCCGGGCAGGAAAGTCCTTGAAACTCATCTCCAATAAACCATTAGAAAACCGGAAGTGGTGCTGTAGCTCAAGTGGTAGAGCGCTCTCCTTGAGCTGAAGAGCTGAGGGACAGTGCCCAGGCCCAGAGTTCAAGCCCCACGACTGAAAAAAAAGAAAAAAAAAAGACTTTCACATGCTATTTGCATTGGTCATTATAGAAACATTTACTACAATTAGTTCACAAAGTTGAGTGCAGAATGCCTGAATTTTCTTTTCATCATGAAAAATACCAAACAATACCAGAGCAATAGTTGGATAAGTTGATGATAAAATCAACTCTTTAATAATACATGAAGTCTTCACAATGCCTTTATCATCTCTTCCATCCTCAAATTATTAAAAACAATATATTATGATCCTCTACAAAAGATGGTCCTGATAATTTCTGTCACTGATTGACAACTGCAATCCAAGCTGGTCATGGGAAACAAAGTTACCATGTACTCTCAAATAATTATTCTTTAACCCTGATCCTCGGCCCAATAGTAATACTAATTTAATGGCTTTCACAATTAGCCTGTATTAGCTATTAGGGATCGATGCAGCTTTTCCTGTATTCTGAGTTGCTCTGAATGTTTGTATCTACTGAAACCCCTGTGCTAAAATCCTCTTCTTCAATGTAATGGTATTAGTAGATGGGTTCTTTGAAAACAGAGGAGGTTTTGAGTATAGAATCTCCATCAGTGGGCTTGGTGCCCCTCTGAAAAAGGCAACTTCCCAGTTTGTATGTATTAGAACCAGCATTAGGATTGCCCTGAAGCAGAAAAAAAGCTGTTCAGAGAACACTACATCTCCTTCTGCCCTCACTTCTGCCTCACAACGCATAACTTCATTCTTCCTGTCTGATTGTTAGCATTCTCTGTTCTGCTCAGAAATTCCTGATGCTCATTTATTGACAGTAATTGTTGCTATTATTATACTGAAGAAAAAAAAACTTATTATTCAAGTAACACACCACAGTAGGCAAGGCAGAAGTCACTACAAAGTCAATTGTTGAGACAGAGCTCAAAACAAAGGCTTGCCTAGTGAACTTGATATCCTGAGCTGAAATCCTACAACCACTAAACATTAGGTGAATTGACAAAGTTCTGTCAATGTATACCATGGGTATCAAGATTGCTTGATACCTGTGTGCTTGGTCATTCTTGCACCTGGGCACTGTCCCTGAGCTTTTGTACTCAAGGCTAGTTCTCTACCACTTGAACCACAGCTCCACTTCCAACTTTTTGGTGGATAATTGGAGATAAAAGGCTTATGGACTTTGCTGCCTAGGATGGCTTTGAACCTCAGTGGTCAGATCTCAGCTTCCTGATTAGCTAGGAAGCTAATCAGGTGTGAGCCACCAGAGTCTGGGAAGTGTATTTTTACTTATATTTATAACTATTTATTAGCTATCTGTCCTATTAGTGTACTTTAAAATTCATACCAAAGTTTGTACATGCATAAAAAATTAACTCCAAATTACTCAACTCAAAACTATAACTGAAGTTAAATTTATTCATACATATTGTATCATATATATATATATATATATATATAGTCAATTGTGGGGCTTGAACTCAGGGCCTGGGTGATGTCCTGGGACCTCTTTGTGTTCAAGGGTAGCACTCTAGCACTTGTGCCACAGCACCATTCCAATATTCATTTTTCATACATAAATTGACATCCTACCATCACGCAGTTAGTTTTAAGAAACTAAAATTACATTCTTTATTACTTTTTGCTTTTTTGCATATTAGTATAGTTTATAATCTATCAGAATATAACTTTATGCCTAACCATTGATTTTTTTTAGTTTCTTTAACAAAAACAAGATTTTTAGTTTCTTTACATGCAGCAAATAAAATGTACTTATGTAAATATTACAAAAGTACATACTGTCTATTACATACTCCTGTGTATAATTGCATGTAATTATATGCTGCAATGAACTTCCTAAAATGTCACTTGACATTTTTACTAAGTCCTTCCTAGAAGGTTTTCTAGTGTAAGGAGATGGCGACTGGTGGAAGGCATACCATTTCGTATTTATTTTATTAATTATTTTATTAAATATTTAATATTATTAATTGACATGATCTTAAGATTTGTCTAACACAAGCAAGTTAGATTATTTATTAATTTAAGTAGAAAAATTCTTAGCTAAATAAGCCATGAAAATATTACATACGTGTAAAGGAGAAGATAATTACTAAGCAACTCCACCTGTGTAGTGATTACGTTGAATTGTCTTCCATGAGCAGTTTTGAGGACATTTTTCCCACAGATTGCATGATTCCTGGTAGAAAGGTGACTTGTCTTTTCTCATCTATTATGGTGATGACACTTCAGCGCTGCTGCTCCCTCACTATGTTAGAAACCCGTGCCAGCAGCTGTAAGGAGCTGCATGGACGGAAATGACAGCTGTCTCTGCCTCCTGAGGTAGAGGACACAGGGCCCAGGAACACAGGAGGCTTTTAAGGGAAGATAACAGGACCTGAATCTTAATATGAATGTCAAGGAGAGAGAGCCAAATAAGCAGAGATCAATGCTGTAGTGTCTGTGTGTCATGCTAAGGCATTTACATTCTATCTAAAGCAAAGCCATTTAGTCATTTTAAATGGAAGTCTGGCATGTTCTGGTTACTGATTCAGGAATGTATTAGGTTTCTCTGAATAGGACAATTTTTCTACCTTGTCTCCCTAGAGATGGAAAATAACCCTCAGTAGAACCCACTTAATGATTTCATATGTGAGATAATGTCACTCATCTAAGCTTCCACATTTTCATTAGTTTACAGGAAGACATGCTAGCCTCTCAGCTTCTCCTGATTAATTTTATTTAATTATGGTATATATGTATATATAATGACATATATTATGTAGATACATCTACTATATATGTATATATGAACATATATGACTTTTTCTTGTTTCTTTGCATGACAGTATTTCATATTAAATTTGTCTCATAGTACAAATTATTCAAGAAACAAGAAATGGCTAGGAAGGTGGCTCAGTGGTAGAGTGCTTGCCTTGCATGCATGAGGCCCTGGGTTTGATTCCATAGTACCACATAAGCACAAAAAGCCCAAAGTTATGCTATGGCTCACATGGTAGAGCACTAGCCTTGAGCTGAAGAGCTGAGGGACAGCTCCCAGACCCAGAGTTCAGGCCCCAGGACCAACAACAAAAAAAACCGAACAGATGAATTAAATCCTATAACAATTTTTTCTTTTATTATATCTTGGATATTCAGCTTGTAATTTTACTTCATGTGCCTCAATGTGATCTTTAGACTACATGAAATTGCCAGTTTTATAAAATTGAAATTATTATTTAGAACTCATTTTTTTCAATTAAAAAACTTACTTTGTTTTTGACAATGATTAATTCTTTTCTTTTTGTTCATATTGCCAAACCTATCTGTTTTTCTTTAAATTTGGGATAGATATTTGCCTCCATTCTTTCACATTCTGTTTTGTTACACTATTTTGACAAATGTTATTTAAATGCACAAATTGCAAACAATGGACATTGTTCCATTTTAATATCCTGAATGTGAAAAATTTATTTTCTGATGTATAATGATAAAGATGACTAGAATGAATGAAGAGGATATTTTTTATATATAACTAAAATCTTGAGGCCAATCAATTGGTTTTCGCTTCTTTTTAAAGACTGATTAAATCATACCATATTATTGTCATATTTACCACAGTGTGTAAAACACAAAATATTTTACTGAAAGAACAATAAAAATACGAAATAGTAACTTTTAAAATATTATCATTCTTCCTTAAAAAATGAAGAGACAGTCAAGGGTTAACTTAGAAGTATTTAACATAATGAATTTAAAGAATTTAAAGTATTTAAAGATATTGATCAATATTTTATTTTAAATTTCGTTCTAAGCCTCTCTTTTGTTTTTTTCTGTATTCCTTTGGATTTTTTTTTCTTTGAAAACATTCAAATAATTCTTTCGTTAATTTTCTTTCCCTCAGAAAGAGTCTCAGACTTATGGAATATGATTAATCGTTCTTATTAGAAGAATCTGTAGGCTCTGGACAATTAGTTATGAGGAGGGATATTTTCAGACTGGATTATTCTTTCTTGGTGATGATATTAATGTATATTTTTAATGCTTGTCTTGGGATTTGAACTCCGGTCTGCTTCTTTCCTTGAGTGGCTGTATGCAAGGCTAGTGCTCTATTACTTGAGACACAGCTCCACTTTGGCTTTTTCTTCTTCTTCTTTTTTTTTATTTGGTAGTTACTTGGAGATAAGTATGACATGGGTTTTCTTGCCCAGGCTGGCTTCAACATGCAATACTCAGATCTCAGCCTACTGAATAGCTGAAATTTTAGGCATGAGCCATCAGTGCCTAGCTTCATAGAAATATTTTAATGTGCTTAATAATTACTATTTTGAGAAAATGCCAAATTTTCCCCACTGAATTACACTCCCTTCACTAATTAGGTTGTAATAAATCAAGTAAAAGTCAAACCTATTGTTTAATATATGGCACAAATTTTAAATAAATTAGTTTCTATCTGGAACTAGGGCCTGCAAAATTCCATGGATTTATGAGCTTATTGCTGGTGAAGAGAGAAACATGGTCTTAAGGTGGATTGTTATCTTCTTAGCTCTGGCCAACATAGAGCAAGTAAGGAATTAACACCAAAGAGGAAGAGAAGAACAGGAAGAACAAAAAGTAATCTTAGTTCCATATTTTTCCCCTAGATTTTGTTAGAAAATAACTGCATACTTCATATTTCATGGTCTCTATCAATACCAACTATGAGGAAAGGAAGGGAGAGGGAAGGAAAGAAGGAAGGAAGGAAGGAAGAAAAGAAAGAAAGAAAGAAAGATAGGAAGAGAGAAAGGAGGGAGGGAGGGAGGGAGGGAGGGAGGGAGGGAGGGAGGGAGGAAAGGAAAGGAAGGAAGGAAGGAAGGAAGGAAGGAAGGAGGGAGGGAGGGAGGGAGGGAGGGAGGGAGGAAAGGAAAGGAAGGAAGGAAGGAAGGAAGGAAGGAAGGAAGGAAGGAAGGAAGGAAGGAAGGAAGGAAGGAAGGAAGGAAGGAAGGAAGGAACGAAGGAAGGGAAAGGAAAGGAAGGAATCCATGTTAATAGACACAGTATGCACTGAAAAATATTGCAAATCACCAAATTGTGTAAGTATCTGATCAGGACATGTAAGGAATGAATTTACATTTTGTAAATAGACTTGGTAGCATTCCATGCACAGAAAAGGAAGTGAGAGCTCAGCCTTTTCTATGAGTTTAAAACTCATCTTCCCAATGATTCATGAGTGATGTTATAATAACCAAGTGGCCTTTGACAGGAAAAGGGTTCTCCAATCCTGTTCTAAATGCTAAATTGCTAATAATTTATTCAGTACATCCCAAATTTTATTCTTTTTTTGAACTTTAAAGTTCTTATTTTATGTAACATTTAAAACATTTAATTATCATTAAAAAGAGTATAAAAGAGAATCATTTGATGTTCTATTTAACATATGCTTTCACATTTAATGTTTGTGACCCTTCAGAATAAAATTCTATTATTTGCAAAAATATATAGTCATTAACCTTTTAAAGGCCAATTATATTTAATATTGGGACTTTATGTATATATATATATTCCAGAATATTTGTCTAATATCTAAGTTTCATAAGCATTTTTGAATTTAAATCTATCTTAATAAAATACCATGGGCATTTTAAGTGGTATATAAATGTTTTAGATATTTTCATTTCATATAAAGTTTAAAACTAGTCACTAAATTGTCTACTCCAACTTATTTTTATTTTCATTTACTAGATCTCTAACCTTGAAATATATCTTAAGTGATTTTCAGCCCCATTTTAAGACCTCCTGGAATTGCTTCAATTTTATTTTAATTTAATAAATATAGGTCATCATCCTCAAACTTTAAGAAAAAAAAATAAGAGAAGCACAAAGTCTATGGTCTGAATTTTAGAGTTTTGCTCTTCACTGTAGCATTATCATTAAATCAATACATCATATTTTTGTGTTAGCACTGGGGCATAAACTCAGAGCTTCATTCTTTCATTTGGCATTGCTGCTCAAGACTGACAATTTACCATTTCACACATGGTACCAGTTCTTGCCTTTTGCAGATTAATTGGAGACAGGTTCTCTGTGACTTTTCTGTCTGCTTGCTTCAAATCATTATCCACAGATCTCAGCCTCCAGAGTAGCAAGGATTATAGGGTTGAGCCATCAGTGCCTGGCTAATTTAATATCCTTTAAAATAAATCACATAGATTTTACAAGAGTTTACTGTCTCGCATCATTTTTGTTGAAATTCCCATTTCACTTGACACATTCATAGTCCTGAAAAGCTATTTGAAAGCAAAGACTCAATTATCTATTTTATACAGAAGTTATTGAACTATTTTTATATGATAGGCAGCTGAAAAAACTAAACTTAGTTGGAATTAAAATACATTGTAATGAGTATAAAATCCACATGAAATTATAATTACAAGCTTATCTTATGCATTAATAACTATTCACATATGAATGTCATACAAAATAATAGTCTATGTAATTATCTCTATAAAGGTATGGATTACATATACTACATGGGTGTACGATTTTTATATTGCAGAGAATTAAAGTAAAATGTATTTATTTGGGACTAAAAAATGTACATAACAGAATCTGGCAAAATAGAACATGCAAATTCATATTTTCAGTTTATGTATTTTTATCTTTATTGATTGATTTTTATTGCTTGTGGAACTTGAACTCTGGGCCTGGGTGCTCCTCCCTGAGCTCTTCAACTAAAGGCAAACGCTCTACCACTTGAGCCATAGAGCTACTTGCAGTTTTCTGAGTGGTTTATTGTAAATAAGAGTCTCATGGAGTTTCCTGTCCAGGCTGGCTTTGAACTGTGATCCTCAGATCTCAGCCTCCTGAGTAGCTAGAATTACAGGAATGAACCACCAGTACCCAGTCTCTTTTTATATATTTAAACATTTTATCTATATTTCAACTACTCTAGGTACTGGTTCAAGTAGAAACAGAACTTGGCAATATATAAGTAAGAGTAAAAATATTTCTGTGCAGTATACACAGAACTTGACAATACATAAGTAAGAATAAAAATATTTCTGCACAGTATACAAGGAGAAAATAACAACTGTTATTTTTCATTTAATGTAAACAGATTAAAATTTATATTAATGCAATTTCTCCCATGTTTTACAGGAAATATTGATGAAGCAGAACAAGAGTGGAAGGCAGGGTTTCACCGCTGGAACAATTACATGATGCACTGGAAAAATCAATTTAATGATTACACCAGCAAGAAAGAGAGCTGTGTGGGTCTCTAATTAGTAATGTTAGCCTTATGGATAGTTCATTTTCCTTTAGATGAAGGGAAAAATATCAACAGCTTTATACACATCTCTGAAGAAAGCTATTATAGGAGTGAACCAAAACATCCGAAGAATTATAACCATTCTTGACATCCATTGCTATTTTGCCCAGCAATTCAAAACCAAAAACTTAATTATACACATATAGACATGCGTGTCTTGCTTCAATTTTTTCCTAAATAACTTTTTAATAGATTTCTTATAGTATATGGATTCTGATTATAGTCACATACATATTTTTATTACTATTTATATAAGTTATCTTTTTACTCTCAACTAATTTTTGAAACACTGGACATTAGAATTTGCAGATAATTTCTTCAAATCAATTTATAATTTGAATGTCAATATAATATTAAAGCAAGAACAAAATCATAATTGGCCTCTATTTGGTTTTTACATGTAAAAGCAAGAGAGAATGTTTAAGTAAGAGTCTCAGACTCATGAAAATCAGTTGCAATGGGGCCAAAATGTTGCTATCCACATAATCAAAGAATATCTTGATCAAGTCAAATCAAGAACTAATGAACTGGTTTTTCAAGATGGGCAAAAGTGATTCATAATATTGATGCATGTGAATAGAACCTGTTATCTGAAGGAAGTTACTGGTGTTCTAACCTATCTACATCAGTTAAGTTTTCCTATTTATCAGTCTTGCAAAAAAGATTTGTAAAAAAAGCTCTTTGATATGCTGAACAGGCATACTCTTGTTTTATGAGTCAGAAGATTCTATGTTAAAACAACAAACAAATGAACAACAACAACAACAACACACACACACACACACACACACACTAACACACCAGAGGATTCAGAGATGCACATTAGAAACCTGCAGGATCTTTTGATATCAAGACTGTAGGACAGTCGGGAAATCTTGACAAATCACCTGCTTTTGTCTGGTTGTTTCTTTCTGCACTGAGGATCTACAAAGCAAAAATGGCCACTCAGTATCGCATATCAACACTGTAATTATCCAATTCAAACAGGCTTTTTTACCTGTATCTCTTAAGTACTATGAACTCTGAGGGACTCTGAATTATGGTCATTGAAGGGCAGTTTTGATGAAAAATTCTAATTCAAGGGCACCCAAGCCCTCTGAATTCTCATCACTTTGTTTAGGAGATAGATAAAAAGGAGATTTGAGTCAAGTTGAATATTAAAAATGTATACCTATGAAAACTTCAAAAATGGCAGAAAATTTCTCCTAGTTCTTAGTGTGTGGACAACTATTTACTAACTGCAAGTAAGGAGTGATGGGAGCTATCACCTAGTTTTGGTGAACTTTTCAGAAAATGTTTGAAAGTGATTCAAACATATACTAGTTTTTATCATACCAAAGCAGGTATAGTAAATTCAACCAAAGTTAGACTATCAATTATATATATATATATATATATATATATATATATATATATATATATATAGAAAAAATATTTTCCAATTGTTTGATATTTGAATTTATAATTCTTTTATGTTTAGCTTCAAATGTCCAAAAATTCACTGCTATTATCAGGATGAAGTGTCTAATTTTAAAAGTAAAACAGTTAATTCCAGGTCAGTCTGAAACTCAATTTCATGGATAAATCAGAACATAATTTCACAGAGTGTTCTAGCAAATGAAATCATGTATCTTGCAAAAGAAAAAGAAAAAAAGAGTCATAAACTCAATAATTAGTAAAATTCCTTGTGGCACTGGTAGCTGGGCTCAAAAGAATTTTTCACTTTAGAAAGTTTGTTTGGAAAAGTAGTTGTTCAAGGCAAACAAGAAATTCAAATTTTTAATGTTCTTAGTGTAAATGTAAACCTGAAGGGTTATTTATTATTCTTCAGTCTTTCAAAGAATAAAGAACAGATTTAAAAATGTACACATATTTAAGCCCCACAACCAACAAAAGAGATGTATATCAAATACAGTTTCCCATTCATATAAAACAATCCATTACTTATCATAATGGGTCTACATGAAGAAATTCACAAAATGGCTCCATCAAGGGGAAAAAATCAGAGAACAAGAAAGGAAACATCCATTAATGATCATATGACAATCATCTAATTAAACATGAAAAGATAATAAAAGCCAGGCACTGGTGGCTCCATTTGCAATCCAAGTTACTCAGGTGGTTGAGATCTGAGGATCAAAGCCAAACATGGCAGGAAAAACCATGAGCCTATTATTTCCAATTAACTATAAAAATCAAAAAAGCTGGATACGAAGCTATGACTCAAGTGTTGGAGTCCTATTAATCTTGAGGAGAAAACAACAAACAAAAAACTCAGGGATGCTCATCCCCTGAGTTCAAGCCCCAGGGCCAGCACACACACACACACACACACACACACACACACACACACACACACACACACACACACACACACACATTTATTCTCTTATTTTAAAAACACACCTTTAAAATATTTAAAACAATACATCTATAACAGACAAATGTATCTGTTATCTACACTTGAGCAGCAAAAAGTCAGAAGTAGATGCATCCTTCAAGTGGCAGAGCAGCCAAAAACCAGAGCACCAAAATGAGGCCATGAGTTCAAATAGACATTCATTTCATGATGGTCTTATCAGAGAGAAAATATTTGGAAATTCGGTAAAAACCTCCCTGTGCTGAATATGCCCTGTGGATCAACATGCTCTTTGGTCAACAGTACTTCCTTTATCTCTTTCCCAGGGCCTTGAAGATGCTCACCACAGACAGCACTTTATGACTTCATACCCTTTGTCCAGTAGCGTTTAGTTGTTTCTCTCCTGGTTGCTCTAGTTTTTATGACTGTGTTCAGTAGCATACCCATGTTATGCCATGGCTTTTCACTGTATCATTTCCATCCATCCATTTGATGTACTGTATGCAGATCAATTTCATCCTCTGCTCAGTTTCCATTACCACCTGCTCTATTTACTTTGCCAAGTTCAACTGTTGTGTACGCATCCTCACTCATTCCTCCCTGATTCTGCTGGTCCCCAGCCCTCCCACACGGGTTGTCTTCCAATACTCTCCAATAAAGTCTTTTTTTGTCTTTTAACTTTTGTGTGGATTTAACTTTGACAGTAAGTAACATCTAAAGTTTCTTAAAATGATTAGGCCATAGTTCGATTTCACCACGTTTGTATTACCCCCTGCAAGATGTATTCTGTCAGGCTACAATTTCTTGTAGCACACTTGTTGAGGAATAGTAATTCACTGGACTATCAGATGAAGACAGTAGCAGAACTGAAGGGTTGAAGACCTATTGTTTTGTTTATTTTGTTTAGTTTTGGTGCCTGTCCTGGGCTTGAACCTCGAACCTGAGCTCTGTCCTTGAGCTTTTGTGATCAAGGCTGATGTTCTACTACTTGAATCACAGTTCCTCTTCTGGCTTTTCTAGGGGACTAATTACAGACAAGAGTCTCAGAGAAATTTTGCCTGGGCTAATTTTGGACCACAACCCTTAGATTTTTAGCCTCCTAAGTAACTAGGAATACCAAACGTTTAAAGAACATTTCTGAGTATCTATTAAATTCCAGGCAGATAATTTGCATGTCAGGCAATTTTATGATTTGGAGTTTTCAGAATATTTTTCATTCTGTATCAAATTTAACTTCCCATGACGATACAGTTTTCCTGTTGCATTGGCTTTGAACATATGGGTTCTTTCATTTTGCACACAGATTTTTTTTCCTTTTCTTCTCTGCTTTTTACTGTTTGTCCTCCCTAATGAAAATGAGTAGCGAACGATCCTTGGGTAGTAGTCTAGGAGCTACTGGTGATTTACAGGATTATATTTACATCTGTAATGAAAATTTTCATTACATTCTTAGGCATCTGGGAATAGGTTCTAGAAAACAACATTATCCCAAAGAAAAAATTCATCAGAAAGCTAGTATGATTTAACTTTAGGGATTCGCACTTGCCAAAACACTTTTGAAGTCACTACATATAATTTTGTATTTGGAATTTCACATTACTTCTCTTAAGGAGTATTTCCCAAAGGATATGAGTTTCAAGATGTACAACATTTGGTTTGTCTGATTTTCACCATATCTCTGTGAATATACCATTGATGTACTGCCCCAGGAACAAAATAATACTTTCTTAGTTTTAGAAGATGCTTCTCTCCCAATGCTTTTTAAAACTTCCTCCTGGTTTTCTTTACTTGGAACTTACTACCTTTGTTTTACATTATTGAAATACGATAATTTTAAAAATTAGTATTATCATTGGCTAGGGAAATAAGTGAATAAGAGTTCAAAAGCTAGTGTCTTCAGTGGTATTTCAGTCTCCAAACCAAATGTGTAAATAGTTTGGCAAACGGTTTATCATTTTCACATTACTGTGACTGTTAAAAGTTTTAATAATCTCGCTGAGAGGTGTCTCTTGGTATGCAAAAATTAAGTGAGAAGTTTACCAAACCAAAAGCCCTCCTCTCTCCTCTGAGTATGAAACTTCCAGAAGGCTGTGCCCTGCTCTGAGTTTATCTAGTGAGGCAGCCAGAGAGGGGCCACTGGCTTATCTCACTGCTGTCTGAGGAATGCTGTGGAGAAAGCTGGATGTCCCTGACTCCTCAGGTCCTTGAACATCGCTTGACAGTGTTATAGAATTCCAGAATTTCATGCATGTATCTCAGTTCCTAAAGAAGCATTTTAACCTTGACTTAGGACCTCTTTCAATTGCTTTTTATTCCATCCTATATTTTACATTTACTGAGACTTAGAAGAACAACGATTTAAGCTCCTTTATACTCTATGGTCCTAGTGAACACTATTTGATTCATCACATTCTGCCAGTGCAAAGAATGTTCATTCCAATAAAATGCCTGCAGGGTGATTCTTCTCTCACAAAACTCCTCAGGGTTAGAATCTTTGGGGACACACAGCTTTTATGAAACTCACTTTGAGAGCTGCCATATATGACTCTTTTGTACCTATAAGAGGAGAGACTTTGGAACTTTCTATCTTCAAAATAATTTGGAGGTCGTATCTCTATAGCCCAATGAATGGTTCTCTCCTTTGGTGTTTATCTGTAGAAATCATTAGTAGTATAGGACTTACTTCAAATATATATTTATTGAACCAAAATTGAAGATGTAAATATATATTGAACCAAAATTGAAGATGTAAATATATTGATATATATATATTTATATATATATACTGAGCATATAAAATCTGTATTTTAAAATATATTTCCATATAAATATATTAGTGTGTGTGTGTGTGTGTGTGTGTGTGTGTGTGTGTGTGTGTGTGTGTGTGTGCTGGTCCTGGGGGGCTTGAACTCAGGGCCTAACCACTGTCCCTAATAATTTTTTACTCAATGCTAGCCCATTGCCACGTAAGCCATGACTCTACTTCTAGCTTTTTTTTAGTCAACTGGAGATAAAAATCTCATGGACTTTCCTGTCTGGATTGGCTTTGAACTTCAATCCTCAGATCTCAGCCTCTTGATTAATTAGGATTATAGGCATGAGCTACCAGTGACTGGCCTATTTTTTTAATTTTATAAAACTAGATAATACACATGTATTCATAAACAAATATATACTATACACATTATGTATACATATTTCAAAGCATGACAGAGGATTAGTGGAACAAATTTTTCACATCATGTGACAATGATTATTATTTTCCCCGTTCATTCTTCTAGTCACTGGTTAAAAGGCCATATTCAGAACAGAGCCACCATCTGCTCCTGTAATACTTACATAGTGGCATGAGACAATAAACCAAAAGCTGTACAATTACATAATATCAAGGCCATGAGTAAAATATGGCTGAATAAGCAAACAGGGATTTACAGCCAAACATGTCTTGTCTGATATGTGAGCATATAATACCTTGGCCAGGCCTAAGACAAGTGAAACACCAACTCAGGTATCTAGTGACAGATGAGCACAAGCAGAAGGTACTGTACAAGGGACAGGAAGGCCCTGGAAGAAGAAAAGTGAGAGGGTGATAAAAGATGAGCTCAGAAAACGAGTAGAGAGGCCAACTAGGAGTCAGTGCACAACTCTGCGAAGTGTTAACTGCCCACAGCCAGCATGCTTACTTGAGAAGGATCGCACTGTATCAATGAGAGCCTTGGTAACAGTGGGCAGATATTGACGCTGGAGCTATTGCCCTAGCCCAGGGAAGAATGGATAGCAAACCCAACTGTGGAGGAGGCAATTGTGTTGTAGCATTTATGAGCAACCACTAACACCATTTACCCAGATAGATGGTGAAAGCTTATGAAACATTTTTGACTTAGAACAGGCGAATGGATGGTATTGTTATTTTCTGAGACAGCAAAACCCTTTGGTTTAGCAAGTCTATAAACAGAAAAAAAAGAATTTGGTAGAGCTCCAAACCACTACTACTTAATAACGAGAAAATCCTTTGCTAATTGAGAGTGGAGTTGAAAGGGAGGAGTATATAATTAAATTAGAGCTATAACGTACTAGAGGGGTTGAATTCAAGAAATAAATAGAGAAGTAAGGATGTCTCCAGTGGAAAGACAGCACATAAGGCCATAAGATCAAAGAAAACAAAGAGATTAAATGAAATTCTGTTCCAGAAAAAGCTAGCACTCCAGCACTGAGACTCAATTTGGTGATGGATATGTCTTTGTTAAAGCCTTCAGAGCTTCCTGCCAGATGTTCGTAAAACAACATGGTTAGAAACTCTTAACCTTGATGGGCTTTGTAATTCATTTGTCATTGCAATATTTAATTTTTCCTCATGAAAGATAGCTCAAACTCTTTTTCTAATTGTAACCAATTTCTCAGTTGGTTGATTTCATGAAGTAAGAGAATACTTAGTCCAACATATATCACTATTAAAAAATATTTTCCCAGAAATGGTGCTATGGCTCAAGTAGTAGAGCCTTGAGCTAAAGAGATAAGGGAGAGTGACCAGGCCCAGAGTTCAAGCCCCATGACTGACCAATACATATATATATATTTCCCATAAAATTCATAAGACACAAAAATAATGAGTATTGAGCTTGGAATCTGGGCAATGTTTCAAGCTCTTTTGCTCAAGGCTAGTGCTCTACCACTGTACACCACAGTACCACATCTGATTTTCTGGTGGTTAAATGGAGATAAGAGTCTTACAGACATTTCTGCCCAGGCTGGTTTTGAATCTCAACCTCCTAAGAAATAGGACTACAGGTGTGAGCCACTGACACCTGACAATAAAAATATATTTTAAAAAACAAAACCTATTTTTCTCAATTCTGTAGAGTGCTTTACACATTAATGTGTAGGATCAATTACATTTACTTCTTAGTTTATTTCTCCTGGTTGGATACTTGCAGGATTTTCCCAAATCTATATTCATACCTCTCTTGTAGGTTGGACCATCCCCCCCAACATATTGTCTTCCTTGAACTGAGACTTTGGAATGATGTAGTGTCAAAGGTAATTTGCAGGGCTAGCAACCAGTGTCTCCTGCCTATAATCCTACCTAATCAGGAAGCTGAGATCTGAGAATTATGGTCCAATGTCAGCCAAACCAGAAAAGCCCATGAGAATTTTATCTCCAATAACTGCCAAAAAGACAGAAGTGAAGCTGGGGCTCAAGTTGTAAAACACTAGCCTTGAGCAAAATTCTCTGGGACAGTGCCTTGTCCCTGAGTTCAAGCCCAGGAACCAGATACCTACCCACCCACCCCACTTCCCTCCCTCCCCCAATACAGAAGTGATCAGGGTAAAAATTTTGGGCATTTTTATTAAAAGGAGAAGGTTGACCCACAGTTGAGGCAAATATGATTGACTTATGAAGTAGACATTGAATTGTGATCACTGTAAACCAAAGAATGGGAACAGCTACTAGAAATCAGAAAGCAATGAGTGTTTCTTCTCCAGTTTTGGGATTAAGGCTGGCTCTACTAATTTCCTTGATTTTGATCCAGTGTAACTGATTTCAAAGTTCCGATTTTCATAATCATGAGAATAAATTTACATTGACTCACCTACAAAGCTGGTGCTATTTTGTCACAACAGTCTTGAAGACTTACCCAACAGAGAAAATTGCCTATGAACCATCTCAATTCCACATAGCTTCCATTGTGCTTATTTATCTCAGTCTTTCCTATCTCATCCTAACTTGTATCCAGTCCCAAGAATTCACATACACTACCATTTTTCTTGGTTTATTTTTCTGGCCCAGACATGGGATAGCTTTAAGTGTTGGGGTCAAAATATTACTAACTTGCAACGATATATAGAAACACAGAGAAGTTGAAATTGGGATTATATATAACTATGGGGCATTCCCTATCCTGGATAAAAGCAAAATCTGTTTAGTCTCAAAATTTGTAGGTATATCAAAGTGACTACACTCCATGAAAATGTAACTTAAGTAAAATGCTATCAATTGGTGATCACAAGCTCAGTATTTATTTTTCCATGCAAAAGACACGTAAAAGTATATGCTAGCACAAATAAATAGTAATCACAATTTGTATTGAATTGTACCACTGTGGTTTTCATTTTTGCCAAGGATTTTATTTAGTGTAGTAGATTCAACAACTCTCATATATTTTATTACAAGATACTTAATCTTTACAATTTTAAAATCCATTTAATATTCATTGACATGTTTCTTTCATGAAGAATCAAGAGGGATTATATTAAAAGCTGGAATAAACCAACATTTTTAGTCTAGTATTTTTATTTACATATTCAATTTACCTTATGTTTCCTCTTATTATTATTTCAAGACAGTCTTGATTGAAAAATCAAGATGTACAAGTTGCGATCACCGTGTTAAGAAGTTAAAATGCTATACCCAACTTTAATTCTAAAAATGTGCTTTTGGATAAAATAGTGCATTTTGATAATAAACGAAGGAAATTATACCCTAATTCAGTAATTTTCCCAGAAAGCCTTTTGCCCTATGAAATATTTTCGGCAATTTTTTCAATCCCAGAATCCAACCCAAGTAAAAAATCCACAGAGAATTTTACCAGAAAATACAGGAATGTAAAGGAACCAAATAGACCAATAAAAGATATTAACTGTAGCTCAGGGTGCTTGGGATGGTGGATGATGAGGACTGAAAGGACAAGGTGGTTTGGGCAACTTAGTGAGACCTTGAACCAGCAACAAACAAAAATAACAACAGGGCTGTAGGTCTAGATAGCGATGGAGTGCTAACCTAGTGTGTATGAAACACTGGGCTCAGTTCAAGTATAAAACACATGTATTTTTCCATTTGCCACTAAATAAAACCATCTTAATAACAAAACAAGGAACCACATAAACCAGTACTTTGAAGCAAAAATATGAGAATTCAGAAATGATATGATAAATTAAAGAAGGAATGCACAGGTTAGCAGTGGAAAGGAAGAAATAAAGAAGGAAAAAAAGAAGAAGATAAGGGGAAAATTTCAACTCTTTAGTTTTGAAATCCAAGGCAGGATGAATGCAAGTGAGAATGTCCATGAGTTAAAACAATGACATGGTAGGTTTGAAAAATAAATAAATACAATGAAAAGAAAGTTAAAAAATAAAATATTCATTTTAATAGGAAAATCCAACAAATTAAATAAACTCTGAGAACTGAAATAGTAGGCTAAGGAAGAGTTAAAGATATAATTGAAAAAAATAGGGGGAAGAGTTCAAGAAATTCTTCTATCTAGGAAAAAGACCTTATTTTATAGAGGATAAAAAGTGTTATAGTATTTCATGACCCCAGGAAGGCTTGCCAACTTGACAATGTTGTGTATGTATGTATGCATGTGTGAATGTGTGTGTGTTTGTGTTCGTATGTGCATGCATCTGCTTGCCAGTGTAAGGGTCCAACTCAGGGCCTAGGCTTCCTCCCTGAGCTTTTGTGCATGAAGTTCTATCACTTGAGCTTCAGCTCTACTTCCAGCTTTTTGGTCAATTGAAGATAAGACTATCACCAACTTTCCTGCCAAAGCTAGCTTTGAACCATGATCTACAGATCTCAGCCTCTTGAGTAACTAGAATTATAGGTATGAATCCTGGATGCCTGATGACAATTGTTTTCTTTATTAGAAAAATTGGACAATAAATTTGTGTGAAGAGGGAAAAAATAAACCTACAGTTAACCTGATTCATTCATAAGATGAGATGTGATGAAGAAGCTAAATGAAGTAAATTTTGATGTTGATATGAAAAATCTCCCCAAATATTGTAATGACAAGAAATCATTCTGGCTGGGCACTAGGCCTCACACCTAAGCTTTGCTACTCAGGAGAGAGGCTAAGAATTGGGAACTGGCAGACACATTTGAGAAAAATTTTTATCAAACTAACTAAAAGCTAGAAATAGAGACCTGGCTCAAGTGGTGAGGTGCCAGTTGTGACTGAAAATGCACAGCAAGAGCTGGATGCCTTGAGCTCACACACCTGATTCAGACAGAAAAAAAGGTCATTCTACATAATATTATAGGTTCATGAGGACTTCTCTTTAACAAAATAATATGTGTATCTGGCATTCTTGACAATCTCTCCAGAAACACATTGGAAAATGGTAACAGCTGAAGCCTCTGGGGAGAGAAGCGAATGGGTGTGGCCGAGAAGAGGGAGTGACCATTGTTTCTCCTGATTTTTGAGCTCTGTCATGGTAGCATGGACTTGTATTATTTATACAGAAACAATACGTTCATTTTCCATAAACAGCCACATTTGTTTAATTATTCTCAAGGGAGAAAGATTTCAACAATAGCCAAATGCCCGTGGTATTTGTTTGGGGCAGGTAATGTTTAGTATTCTAATGGAAAATGATAAGTAACTCCATCCAACATGTTAAGATGTCCAATTACTTGATGTAGTATGTTGAGCATTTTGTTGCTCTCTAACCCTGGATGACACATAAAAGACCACTCAAAATTAATCATTTGACAAGAGTCCTGTTAATGTTCTTCAGTAGCTGGTAACACCTGCCCTTTGCATTTCTAGCACAAAATGACTCTTCTATGGACTACCATACAGGTCTCTAGGGTCTCAACCAAGGCATCATTGATTTCTAAAGGAAAGAAAATTGGCAAATAGGACTTCTTAATAAAAATACAACTTGTATTCTCTTCTATCTATAACTGTGTATTAAAATTCTCCTATGGAACCAGTTCCAGTGAATATCTGAGTGAATGTTGCAAGTATCAGGACTTGCCTAAATCTCATGGTATTGTTTTCCTTTGATCAAAAAAAAAGGGTTAAAAAAGGACCATACCAGGAAGACCTCACCAAAACTCCTTAAATCTTTGTGTTCGATACATATTCTTCTCTTTCTTTTTGATAAAATATAAGATAGGGAATTTTAAGAAGGTAAAAGTTCAGCTGGATGCCGGTGGCTCACGCCTGTAATCCTAGCTACTCAGGATGCTGAAAACTGAGGATTCTGCTTCAAAGCCAGGTTAGACAGGAGACTCTTTTTTAATTTTTTTTTTATTTTTATTTTTTGGGTCCGGTCATGGGGCCTGAACTCTGGGCCTGGGTGCTGTCCCTCAGCTCTTCAGCTCAAGAATAGCGCTCTACCACTTGAACCACAGCACCACTTCCGGCTTTTTTCTTTTTGCTTATGTGGTGCTGAGGCATCAAACCCAGGGCCTGATGCATGCAAGGCAAGCACTCTACCACTGAACCACCTTCCCAGCTCTCCATGAGACTCTTATCTCCAATTAATGACCAGAACACTGGAAGTGGCACTGTGGCTCAAAGTTGTAGAGCACTAGCCTTGAATGGAAAAGCTTAGGGACAGTATCCAGACCCTGAGTTCAAGTCCCATGACTGATAAAAAAAAAAAAGATAAAAATTTAGACTGAGATGCCCAAATTCTTTATTAGATTATTAAGTCTGTTTAAAAATCAACTATAATTTTTAACCATATTGGCTTTGGTAGACTCTGAAGACTCAGCTAATGTGACCAATACATACAGCATGATAGAACTGACTTCTTTTTGATGTTATTGTTAATATAGCAAGACTTTCTCAGTAAAGAAAATAGTGCTTTGGTTTACATTCTGGTTCATATTTCCTTATATCCATCTCCTAATGCCCCAAAAGAAGGCCTTACCCTTCTCTTGGTGGTCATGAAATGTCTTCTTCAGTCAGTAAAAGTTAAATCGGAGAAGATTATGACAGCAATGAGATATTTATGCAAAGATCTGAGGAAGAACATTTTGGAGTAGAGAAAACTCTCCAAGCTCTTTGGCTCCAAAACTTATGATTAAAGAGTATGGAGTTGTTTAAGGATAGGTAGAGTTAGCAGTCTTCTAGGACTCCAGTTCCTAATGGTCTTGAGAGTCAGCCAATAAAGAGCATTAGACCTTGGGCTTCATTCTTATTTTAATGGAGGAATGTTAAGAGAAGACCAAGAATGGGGAGAGCAAATGCTTTAGGTTATAAGCAGACATCATGACTTCTATATGGCAGATATATTGTGGAGAAAGGAAATTTTAGCAGAAGCAAAGAGACCACTATCAGGCTACTGAGATAGCTCAGACAAGCAATGATTTTACTTTAATGTTGAACTATTGTATTAGAAGTTCAGATGAAAATAAAATATGATTTGGAGATAAACCAATCAGAGTTCTTTTTTTTTCCAAAACAATGGTTATGACAGAGATGTTGGCTTGTGGGTCATGTCTACTTCCTTTGAGCTCTATCACTGAGGTAGTATAACTAAACACAGGAGACTAAGCTAGTTTAACTAACTCAGCATATTGTCCTCTATTCCACTGTGACGTGAAAGAGAACTTGAGAGGGGGGAGTTTAGGACATAGAATACATTTTGTTTTGTCAGTTTTGAGGCTTGAACTCTGGGCCTGGGTGCTATCCTTGAGCTCTTCAGTTCAAGGCTAGTGCTCTACCACTGGAGTTACAGCTCTACTTTCAGATTTCTACTGGTTTACTGGAGATAAGAGTCTCACAGGCTTTCCTTGGGCTAGCTTTGAACCACGATTCTCAGATCTCAGCCTCCTGAGTAGCTAGGATTACAATATGAGCCACTGGTACCTGGAATAATATATCTTTTTTTTAATTCAAATATTCTATTCTCAACATGCTTATAATTGAAATTTGCTTATGCTAAAATAAATCTCATATTTTTGGGTAAACAATATTCAGTTCTAATATAATAAGACTGTCTCCAACCAAATCATTATTTAATCTACATAAATATACATAAATTCTACTTAAAGAAAAAGTCGTTATGTTGAAAACAAACTTTACAACTTTTGTGGGGGGGGGCGGGGAGGATTGGGTGGGGGGGTGGGGGAAGGCTAGGAAGGTATGAGAAGGGGAAACAAAGGAGAAGGCTACAATGCTTGATAAGAAATGTACTCATTATCTTGCCCATGTAATTGTAATCCTCTGTACATTATTTTCACAATAAAAAAAGAAAAAGAAACCAACACACTATACACTTTTTGGTGGAGTGAGAGAGGATCTAGGAATCAAAACTAGGGCCATATGAATTCTCTACCTCTGAGCTACAGTGTCAGCCTTTCTAAAGGATGACTGGCTATCAGAGGCCCTAAAAGTATCTCAGTTCCTGACTGTGGCTTTTGCCAAACCTTATCAGGATCAACCACTGCTCTCCAGATAAATTATTTTAGTTTCCCCATACTTCATAGTAAAAGGCAGCATACTGACATTCGTTCCAACTCTATCATGTGTTAGTCCAGGACAAATGACAGGATTTGTAGAAACCAGCTCCCTGTGTTTAGTGTTTACTCTTATAGAAAAAAGTAACTTGCTACAGTGGGATTTTCAGACCTACATATGTAAAAACAATCTTCAAGAGAAGTACAAAGGTACAGTTGGAAAATCAAAGGGTATGATTTGAAAACTAGTTAAAAATATGGTGTTTAAAAATGTGCTTAAAAGAGTTCCTAATTTTATGTTGAGACATTTTGTACTGGATGTTCAAGTGCAAATTCTTAGTTTTCTCATTTCCCACTCCTTTCTTGACAGAAGGTACTCCAGGGAGCAACACATGGCTTCCATATTAAATTTACATTTTTCTCCATTGTTGACCCCAGTTGCAGGTTTCTTGTTAATTAACCTCAAATAGTGGTACAAACAATGAATCTTGATCAGTGTCCCCCACCTCCTTCCCCCCAGCATCATGCAAAACAACATGGTTTCCTCTCAAATTACAGATCTAGGACAGGAACCTGACACTGATTTGGAGACTAAGAAACAAGGAGATCCTCAGGGCTGGCTCAAATGACCAAGACATTGCAGAAAAGAGTGCATGCTAGGTGAGTGAATATGTGCTCTCGCTCTACTTCTTCTTTTTCTTTTTTTTTTCTGCCCTGGGGTTTGCCAAAAATCTGTACATTTCTGGAAGGCAAGTAAAGCCAATCCAAACACCTGTGCAGCCAACCAGCAATTGTGTGATTGCCATTGGAGACCCATCTGTGAGGCTGGTATCAGCCACGTGTCAGTTGACTCACAGAAAGTGGGTTGGGAGGGAAATTCCACCAGAGAATCAGGACAGCAAAATTAGTGTATGTGTGTGTGTGTGATTTAATCCCATATAGCAAACTTGATGAGAAGTAAAACTTTACAACTCACTAGATCAGATTCATAACACCAGTTGCCTGGCCAAAGGAAAGTCTTCAATTCCAAAAGATAAAGAAAATGATACAACAAAAATCAAATGATTTTCTATAATTGGAAGAACACAGACTTTCTTCTTTTTAAAAAAAATGTGATATACAAATGGAATGCTAAAGTCACTAGTTTGGTAATGAGGGATAAGGAGGTTATCTTAATAAAGAATTCAAGACATTAGGTGAGGTTCATTATCTTAGATGCTTAACTAAAAATCCTCATTTATTGGGACTGGAAAAAATTGTCAGAACTTTATTAAAATCCAAAGCAATAAAGGGCTTAACAAAAATATGTGCAATGTAAAAACAATCAGTTGAAAATAATGAAACTTATTTTTGAAAATAAATATTTCACATTTGATCTATCATTCTTAAAGCAATATGAAAACTAAAAAATATATACTAAAATGAATCCCCACCTAAATTTAACTGAGCCTGTGTCATACATTGGTGAGGAGTATAAATATTTTGATTTCCTGTTTTTAAGAACTTGGACTCAGAGAAGTTACGTAGTATAAATTTCAAGAAAAAGAAAAGCCTTTTGGAAAGTTCTTAAAGACAGTTTTATTTCCACTATATCATTGTGTGGCACTATTCATAGTGGTACCGATTAGTCAGTTCTTGATAAACATCTTAATCCCTAAGCTATTGAGACAGAACAATCCAATATTATTATATTGTGAAGTACATGTACAATACTGTACTAGCTATGAAAAATCAACAGAACATAAAAAACCCATGGAACTAGTCAATGAGGAAGCAGAAGAATAAAAACAAATTCTTTGTCATGATAAAGTTCAGATGGGTAATGATAAATTTGGATTTTAAAAAATAACATTGTTGGAAAGGTCTATTAAATGACAAAGCTAGTACAGGCTGGTTTTAGTCTGTTTAACTTTTAAAAAGGCATTGAGTAAAATAAATTTTAGGTGATGGAAGGTCATACTTCCTTGTCATGAATATGTAGACAAATTATATTTTGCAAAGTTGCTCTGCAAAGTTGTTCTAAATTTTAAGCCTATTTGCAACAATGCTAAAGATTTGAAAGGAATTTCCAAAATAACTCAAAATGAATGAAGAAGTGTACACATTGAGGTAGACAGTAAAGAAAATGAATTTAAAATAACATCATAAAAATTATGAGAACAAATATTAACTTTTGTTTCATTAATTTCCTACTTACTCTGCTTCCAGCCTTTACTCTCTGGAGAATAGTGGGGCATAATCATGGTTGATGTGTCTGATACTATTCCCTAATGGAATCCCCAGATACTACATTATTGGAACAAAAAGATATTCTTCATATCCAAGAACTTCCAGAGTTTAGTCTCTGTGTCAGAAATTGGGATCAAAGGATAAAAGTTAGCACAAAAGATGTTTCTAGCTTCCCTAACTAGGAATACTCTTTCAGGTGCTAATGAGAGGACACCAATGTAGGTGTCTCATCACTCATGAAATTCTGAGTTTCCTTCCTTCCCTCCCTCCCTCTCTTCTTTCCTTCTTGCCTTCCTACCTTCCTATCTGACTGCATGCCTGAATTCCTGCCTGCCTTTTTTCCTTTCTTTCTTTCTTTTCTTTTCTTCCTTTTCTTTTTCTTTCTTGCTTTCTTTCTTTCTTCCTTTTTCTTTCCTTCTTCCCTTCCTTCCTTCCTTTCTCTTTCTTCCCTCCTTTCCATCCTTCTTTTTTCCTTCCCTCTTTCCTTCCCTCCCTCTTCTCTTTCTCCCCAGCTCCTTCCTTCCATTCTTATTTCCTTCTTTTCCTTCTTTCCTTCCTTCCTTCCCCTCCTCTATCTCTC